ATTGAATGTGTAGATTGCTTTGGGTAGTATCAACATTTTAACAATATTTGTTCTTCCAATCCATAAGCATGGAATGTTTTTCCATTTCTTTGTGTCTTCTAATATTCTTCTCAGAAGCTTTCTATAGTTTTCAGTGCACAGATCTTTTACCTCTTTGGTTAGGTTTATTGCTAGGTATCTTATGGTAGGTGCAGTTGTAAGTGGGATCGATTCCTTGATTTCTCTTTCTGCTGCTTCATTATTGGTATATAGAAATGCAACCAATTTCTGTACATTGATTTTATATCTTGTGACTTTGTTAAATGGAGGTCCTTTTTTTTAATTGGTTTCCATAATGGATTTTTAAGGCAACCACAGCATCTTAATAATTTGAGATGTTGTCTTCCTCACATAAAGTTCCTGATACTCAATTAGCTTTTTGCTTGTGAATGTCAAATATAAGATGTTATAAACTATAAGAATTCTACATCTTAAGAATGAATTTACAGTAGACTAAAAATTCCTACCTCTTAGGAGATAAAAATCCTTCATTGTTTCTTCCTAAAAAAATCTCTCTTTTGCTATCTTCATGGGATTTCCTGAGAAAGAGGGTTTGGCGTATCAATAAATTAAGAGGGAACAAAGGTTTGTAGGCTGAGAAAAGTAATTGTCTTGGAAATCTGGCATGTTATGGGAGGGATAATGCTGTTATGCCATCTCTTCTTAGGCCTGCACAGACCTTCTCTCCCACCAGAAACATTTGACAGTGGGACTCCCTCCAGAACCTCGAGAGAAGACCATCTCTGCGTGAGTATGACTTTTGGTTGGGTTTGCTCAAGCTTCTCTGAGCCTTTAAGGAGCTGTGTGGACTGACCACAATTCTCTTGCCCTAATCTATCAGTAGATAATAATGTCCTACATGTGTGGGCTTCTTTCAGAGACACTTGTCATGAGAATGTTGATAATGACAGAACATGAGTAAATGAAAGAGAAAATTCACAGGAAGTAGTACTCAAATGTAATTTGCTTTTTAGGGCTTTTTGTTGGTAGTGGTGGTGGTGGTGATGGTTTTTGTTTTTGTGCTTGTTTTTTACTTATTGTCTTTCCCAAACCTCACATTGGAAAACAGTCTGAAATAGGACAGGCAACTACAATGAGCACCCACAAAAAATCAGCTGTACTCTAGACTTTCTTCCAGGCCTCTCTCTTTGGCATGTAGATAGCTATTTTCTCCCTATATCTCTTCACATTTCTTCCCTCTATGTATATTTTTGTGTCCAAATTTCCCAAATTTTCATATAAGGACACTAGTGATACTGGATGAAGGCCCACCCAATGACCTCACTCTAACTTAATTACCTCTAGAAAGACTCATCTCCAAATAAGGTCACACTCTGAGGTACTAGGGGTTAGGATTTCAACGTATGAACTTTGACAGGACACAATTCAACCCATAATACCTTACTCTCAGCAAACAGAGGGTTTTTTTTAATCACATATCTGATCAATTTTTGACTACTGTGACAATCCAAAAGAAGATGGCATGGTCCATATCCCATTCCCCCAGAGTACTTAATATCAACAGAAGAGTCACAAGTGTGGGAAGAGGTATGCATACCTGTGTGTGTGTGTGTGTGCATGTGTGTGTATAAACTGATGAAACTAGAAAATAAGTATAACTAAGGTGTGATCATAAAGTAATAAAATGGTTTCCAAAAGGTACAGCTTAAATTTAGTTCATTACTTTCTAGCCATAACAGTTACTTGTCATATGTTAAGAATTAACCTTGAAATACTGATCTGGAAGGACCTCATCAGGTAAGTTTTACATAAAATTTTGAAGGAGAAGGGCAATCCAGGTTTAAAGAGGAGAGAGGAGAGCTTTCCTGAGTTGATATAGGCCAGAGTGGTTTGGGGTGGCAATGAACTTTGAACACTAAATGAACCAGATGCTACCAGTAATGAGACATTAAAGAGGTGACTTGGACTTGGGAGGAGCTTTTTTATTTTCTCCATGTATTCAGGCTTAAATAATCACAGAGTTTTCTCTTTCTTCACTGTCTTCTCCCTCAGACCTCTGCCCTATGAAGTGCTCACTCAGCTGATAGATGAAGCCAGTGAAGGGGACATGAGCATTTCCATTCTTACACAGGTGAGCAGAATTATGAAGTTTAGTATGGTGATTGATATTTTTGTTTTCAATTGATTTGGCAGTTTCTGAAGACTACAAAATAGGCCTTATGCGACCTGGGCCATAATTTCTGTCTATATTCATTCCATGCACAGGAAATAATGGTGTATCTAGCCATGTATATGCGAACTCAGCCTGGCCTCTTTGCCGAAATGTTTCGACTTCGAATTGGTCTAATCATACAAGTTATGGCAACAGAACTGGCCCATTCCCTTCGATGCTCAGGTATTCGTTTTAGTAACTATTTTTGACAGAATTCACTTTTTTTGGTTTATTTTGAGAGAGAGAGAGAGGCGAGGCAGAATTCACTTTTGATGTAGGTCTACTGGGGCGCCTGGGTGGCTCAGTTGGTTGGGCGACTGACTTCGGCTCAGGTCATGATCTTGCAGTTTGTGAGTTAAAGCCCCACATCGGGCTCTGTGCTGACAGCTCAGAGCCTGGAGCCTGCTTCAGATTCTGTGTCTCCCCCTCTCTCTGCCCCTCCCCTGCTCATGCTCTGTGTGTGTGTCTCTCTCTCAATAATAAATAAACATATAAAAAAAATTTTTAATGTCAGTCTATTGAGTTTTGGATCAAGAGGGAAAGAAAGCTAAAACATTTTATCGGTAGCTCAGAAGCTGCATATAGCAATCTTGTTCCCATGTTAGTCAATCTGTATTTATATAAATCAAGAGACTGATAATTATGACAAATTTATGTATTAGTTCTGCAATTTCAAAATTCCACCTCTTGGGGGCTCTGCACTCCAAATTACATTCCTTCTAACTCCTAGAGTGAGCCTAAGTGTGCTTCGAATTTGAACGTGACAGACTGGTTTTGATTCTGACTCAGGCAGTGCAACTTCTCGAACCAGACTGAGTCACCACATCAGTTTGATCATAATGTTAGTATCCTGTCTAGTCAACAACAGGATTGAATAAAGGAAAGCTGTATTTCTATGAAAATTTTCTGACAGGAGTCTCTTTGAAATTAACTACAGCTGTATTTGGCAAGATAACAGTTTTAGTTAGAAGAAAACCTGGGGCCTGTAGAAGCTGTAGCACAGAATTGTATACAGTGTGAGAGAGGGAAAGGGACCCACGTGGCATGACTATTTTTCCATTGATATTTGTTTGATTTCTAAGAATGATAAAATAATAGAGATAGGGACTGCATACAAAAATGAAAATAGAGTTGTAAAACTCAATGTTAGCCATTGTTTCTGTTACATTTCCCCAAAAGGCTTTTAATTGAGCTATTAACAAATAGCTAATTTTTTTGCATGAGCCTAACCTAAATTACATAAGATAATTATATTAAAATAACCCTTTAAAGGAAAATAATGATTATTTTATACCTACCATATGCAGACTGTGTGCTTTTTGCTTTATATTTATATACATTATTTCATTTGATCCTTACAACAACCCTCTGCAAAAGGTATTTCTGTTCCACTTTTACCAATAAGTCATCTGAATTTCAGAGAGATTAAATAACTTGCCTAAAGTTACACATCTAGTAAATAGTACAATTTGAGTCCAAGTCTTTCTGATTCCATATGATTTCCAATTTAGCACATTGTTATGGATTTTATGTATTACATTATACACATACATATATTCTCTAGCCATGTATCAAGGGATATTTTATTAAGGTCTAATTATTTAATAATAAACCTCAAGAAGGGAAAAATCCTCAAACATTCTTCACTTTTCTTTACCTCTTACGTATTTTTTTTTCCTATGGATTCATCAAAACCATGGCTCTTTATTTCTTACAAGGATAAAGTCAAGATCCCTGGGTGTGATATTCAAGACCCCCAACAGTCTGACCCCTACCTCCTACTTCAACAGTATTTCCCGATAATTTTATCACTCAACATCCTTGAAGATTGATGTCTTCTCTGATTTCCAAAGCATTTATTGTCTGTACCTCTCATTTGGCACTTAATATAGTCATGTTTATTGTTGTTTATTTTGTTTACATATGTGATCTCTCCCAAATAGTTGCTTAGCTTCTCAAGGTCAAGTGCCATGTCCTACCTGTTTGTTACTAACATTGTGTAAAGTCATGACCAACATGTAGTAAGGTCTCACTAACTGTCTGATTTTTTTATCTTTTTCAAGTTTTTATTTAAATTCCAGTTAGTTAACATATAATGTAATATTAGTTTCAGGTGTACAAGCTAGGGATTCAACACTTCTATACAACACCAGGTGCTCTTCACTACAAGTGCCCTCCTTAATGGCCATCATCCATTTAACCCATTCCCCCCCACCCCCACCCATCTCCCCTCCAGCAACCCTCAGTTTGTTCTCTATAGTTAAGAGTCTGTTTTCTGGTTTTCCTCTCTTGCTTCCCCTGTGTTCCTCTGTTTTTTTTTCTTAAGTTCCACATATGAGTGAAATCATATTGTATTTGTCTTTCTCTGACTGAGTTATTTCACTTAGCATAATACGCTCTAGCTCCATCCATGTCATTGCAAATGGCAAGATTCAAAGATTTCATTCTTTTCTTGGTCTGAGTAATATTCCATTGTATATATACATCACATCTTTATCCATTCATCAGTCGGTGGACATTTGGGCTCTTTCCATAATTTGACTATTGTTGATAATGCTGCTAAAAACAATGGGGTGCATGTGCCCCTTCCAATCAGCATTTTTGTATCCTTTAATTTTTTTTATATTTATTTATTTTTGAGACAGAAACAGAGCACGAGTTGGGGTAGGAGCAGAGCAAGAGGGAGATACAGAATCTGAAGCAGGTTCCAGGCTCCAAGCTG